TTATATGCTTTTTTCTTTATTCAAAACTTTGAACATGTTCATGAACTTTGAACCTAGGTTCAATAGGAACACTATTTGTGCCTTATTGTATGTACTCAGTGATTGTTAATCGTGAAGCAAAGGAAGCCAATAATATTATTCATTTTGGTTCTGAGACTATCAATACAATTTTATTATTTGTAAATCTGATGTCAAGATAGACTTGACAATAATTTATTTTTTCAAATCACCCAGGTTTAAATATTTGGGCTCTTTAGGTTCAAATATTAAACTACACTCTACTTATTTTATATCAGGTCTTTTTAAATTTTCTAAGTCTGGAAAAATAATAATTGAAACTACTGATATTAACTATCTATAGACTTCATCTATTAGTATTACTACATCTGAAAGCTCTTCAGTAGTAACTAATACTCCATCAATCATTTGATATTATTAATGATGATATTGATTCTAATATTATGCAACCAAAGCAGGACTTTGAACCTTTCTTACCTGAGGTAAAAGATATTAATATCAATACTTCAAATATCCACAATATTGGTCAACTACCTGATGGTAATATTCATGATCAAAAGTTGTAGACTTAGATGATAACATAAATTTACAAGATAAAACTACTGATCTTGAATAAATACAACCTAAAAAAAGAAGAAAGTCTACTAGTGCAAACCCAAATGAAAAAGGGAAAAATGTAGAAAAAAATAAAAAAAATAATTGCTATTAAATGATTTAATTAATATATAGGTAATTAATTTATAAAAACTCTACATTTTCCCTTTACATATTAAATAAATTTAAACATACAAAGCTTTATTTTTTTTATCTTATTTTCTCTATTATACACTTATAAATATTACCTTTAGTAAGCATTTTTGTTAAAACAATAAACTATTATATCAAGACTAAAAATAACTTATATAAGTTGCTTTATATAATTTATAAGACACTTGTAAATTAAAATATTATTATAAAATTATGTATTAAACTTATACTAACTCATATTTCACATATTAAACTTGAAAAGTACTTGAATTATTTAATTTTGCTAGTTTATTGAATTCTATTTAAGTTAATTACTATTCATAAAGCCAGATGTATTTCACATCCTAATTAGCAAATTAAAATGTATTTTTATATTTATTAATATCTAAACTTTATTATATAAATTTTTTTACTTATTATAATTAATTAGAACAATACTTTACTTTATACTTACACATTAAATTTACAATAGCCTTAATCAACATTAACAGTATTTTATATAAAACATATTTAAAAATATTATTGATAGATTATAATAATGACATTATATATATATAAAGTTAATTAAATAACTTACAATCTATAGTCAAATTTTGCAAATATTATAATATTACAAATCTACCGTAATACATATATTATGAAAGCAATAATTTATGACATAATCAAGTATATTACAATTATACAATTCAATACTAAATAAAACATCTACATAATCTTATTAAAACAAATGCATAAATATAAACATAATTTCTATAATTTTATACTTTAAACACTTTAATTTAGATAAACAAACTATTAATCAACTAATTAATACAATTATATAACAACTACCCTCAAAATTATATTTTTACTATTTTTAAATATAATTAATTTTTATATAAATATACAATTGTTATCTTACATATCAATACATAAATAAAAAAACTAATATACCCTATATTATTAAATTGATAATACTTTATTATCTATTAACAATACAGTCAACTCTCTCAGAATTGATATGCATTGTAGACAGGCTTTGTATCAGGTTTGAGAGATTATCAGATTTGAAAGCAGATTTATATAACTTGAATAATAATTTTTTATCAGGTTTGACAGGTTATCAGTTTTAACAGAATCAGTTTTGAGAGGGTCCACTGTATATAATAAATAACTCCAACTAACCATGATAAAGATTAAATAAATTACCTTTTCTTACATGCCTAACTGAATTGATAATAAACTAACTCTTTCTTTGTCATCTTATTATTATTTCAAATTCAACCATGATCCAGTTTTCTATTCCTGGTTTTGCATAATAATATTATGTAGCTATCTAGTGAATACTAGTTATATGGTGTTTTAAGTGATATTTGTCTACAAAATCTTAAGTTTGATTAGTCAGCATGACTTATTTGTCAAATTTTTATTATTTTTTATACATGTGTTTATTATACTATTATTTTTCATATGTGAATTCATCACACCTTATATTATTATTCTCATAGTATAGATTAGCAAAAGTATACATGCATACAAATACATAATTATATGGTTTAAATATAGTTATAAAAACTTCAAACATAAGCAATATTATAGTTGCAATAACTAATAATATTAAAAGCAGAAATTTTAGATGCAAAAATTAATAATCTGATGCAAATTAATTCATCTATTTATTTGATATTTGGCATTTTTTATTTTTTTTTGTAAGATTTTTTATTGGGTTAATTAAATAATAATTACTAATTATCAAAGACAAATAGCAAAATAATTTTCAAATAACTGGATACTTAATAATTAATTATATAATGCATTATAAACTTTGTTTAATTTGCTAATATGAATTTATAAAGTTTTGTATCTTTCTCAATACTATTTTACTTAAGTTTTCAAATATTAATTGATTGTAATTATATTATCAAGTTGTTATAAAGCTATGTTGGTAAAAAATCCTATGCCTTTTTTGCAAATCTAAATAAATTATTTATAGAAAATGCAATACAAACTATTAAAACTTACCAAAAATAACAAGCTACTATATCCAAAACTCATTAGCCTATTGAACATTCATCAAATTAGCAAATTTTAGTACTACTACATTTTTTTTACACTTAACTAAGCATAATCTTCATTTTAAGTATTGATTATCAATCACTATAATACTGCATATAACTTACTAAAACTTTGCTCAAAATATTTACTAAGCCTTTGCTCAATTTGTTAATTAAACCTTTGCTTAATTATTTTTTTTATAACTATTGTAGTGTTTTTTAATACCCCATACCCATGTGACTAGTGATCAGGTATGTGATTGAATATTGTAATTAGAGATATGTATAATTTCAATTTAATTAAAAGTCTAAAAATAGAATTGCATAAACAATGTAGTAATTAGAAGTGATTAGTATCATATAAACAATATGCAAATAGTGATTAGTAATTAATATATGATTGCATAAATAATGTAATAATAATTAGCAATTAATAATAATATATAAGGCATCAATCCAAATAGAGAAGATGTCTAGCTTTAATTTTTTGTGAATAATCTTAGTTTCCTTCATGAATAAACTTTATATGTTCGTGAATAAACAGTTGTATCTGTGTAGATATATAATAATTAGTGGTAGTATTTAGTATGATACACTAGTCTTCATATAAAAAGCCAAGCAAGTAAAGACTGATAGAAAAGTTAAAGTAATACACGTAGTGTTGTTAAACTATGTGATACAAAGGACCTGGGTAAGCAAAGATTCTCTTGTTGGAATCTTAATTGGTGATCCACCAGTCAACCAGAGAATGATCATAGTAAAATGTGACTCAAATTACTTATAAAAATTGGAGGT